TATTTGATCAACTATAGACAGACTAACAAATTTGCTATACTATGTACTGAACACGAACATATATATATATATGCAAAGAATATATATTTGGACAGTCACTGAAAGATTTAAAAAAGCTGTGTGTTTCTTTTCTGTTATTATTTTTCATTTTATCTCATAATTATTACTGAAAATATTTCATCACATAGAGAAGGGATATGTTAAAAAATCATCTACTCCAGGTGTCGAATACACAAAGTACACCATTAGTTTTCTTTATTACTTTTTCCTTTCACTATTTTGGAGGTTATATATTTTATTTCTATTCTTAGGGCAATTACTCTTAAAATTATAACTTGCATAGTTGGCTTAAACTAAAGTTAACTATTATCTCTAGCCTCCTTCCAAATAATACCTCAAAATGAATGAACTCTAATTCCACTCCCCCATCTTCCACTTCATTGTTGACAACAATTTTATTTTGTTTTTAAATCTCCCCAAATTTATTTACCATCATTATTATTTATACTCAATATGCACATATGTATATGTATTTAATAGATTTAACAAAATCTTTTATTAATTTCTTTTTAACACATCGCTTGCTTCTCTCCATTTATTATTTTTGAGTTGTTTCCTTCCTCCTGAAGCTCTTTCAATAAGGGCTCTCAGTAATAAATGCAGATTTTTTTTTAATTGGCTCTTACTCATAAGTAACAGTTTAGCAGGGAACTAATCCCTACATTACTTTACGGTACTACTCTATTGAATTCTTAAATTACCACTGAAATACTTACTTCCTCCTCTTCCTCTTCATCCTCCTCTTCTTCCTCTGCTTCCTCTTCTTCATTAAGAGGTGGAGGTAAAGGACCAAGGATATCTTCCTCCATAAGATTAACCGGTTCTTCTATCATTTTAGGGGGTAAAGGAGGGCCAATTAACTCATCATCAGAAGAATCAGAACTCTCTTCACTTTCACTGCTACTTGTGTCCCTGAAAATACAGAAACAGAAACTCTTTGCTTCTGCTGCAATACAACAGCACAATTCACAACTGCAAAGATGTGGAAACAACCCAAGTGCCCATCAATACATGAGTGGAATAATAAAGTGCGGTATATGTATACCATGGAGTTTTACGCCATCACAAAAAACAATGGTGATCTAGCATGTCTTATATTACCCTGGATAGAGCTGGAGCCCATTCTACTAAGTAGTGCAAGGATGGAAAAACAAGCACCACATACACTCACCATCGAATTGGTATTAACTGATCAACACTTAAGGGCACATATAGTAATAACATTCATCAGGTGTCAGGCAGGTGGGAGGGGGAGGAGAGGATGGGTATGTTTGCACCTAATGAGTATGGTGTGCACCCTCTGGGGGAATGGACACGATTGAAGCTCCAACTCAGGTGGGGCAAAGTCAATATATGTAACCCAAACATCCGTACCCCTGTAATATGCTGAAATAAAAAATTTTAAAAATTAAAAAAAATAAAAAAAAAAGAACACACTCTGGAGATAGTATTGATTTCTCAGGAAAGCTTGCCTTTCTTTTTAACAACTGGGTTGTTTAAATATTTTTAAATCCTTAATTCAAACATTAAATATTTAATGCAAATATTATTTTATCTTAAGAAAGTAAAATAAACAAACAAAAAAAACTTCTATCTTACCCAAACATAAAGTCAAGAATAATGGGTCATAGGAAGCATATGTTAGAGGCCCATTAGATCATTATCACTAAAGAGACAAAAGAACAAAGGAATGTGGCAGAAAAATTACAAAATACTAGATCTATAAGAATGAAAACCACTGAGATAACCAATGCCTCTATTAACTATATATTAATCTAATCCCTGTTTGCCACAGGAGCAAATAAAGCCAGCCATGTAAAGTTAATATTACTCCCAAAATATTTCAATATAATTTCTGAAATACAAATTATTTCTCAGTGCTAATCCAAGTTTGCCACATTGCTAAAATATTAAATGTAGCATTTTCAGATTCTAAAAACACCTTACTCTAGGGCATATCATACTGATTCCCAACTGTTTTTGTATCTTCCTCACCTAAGGACTATTATCCACTCTCGTTAAAGTCTCTATCAAACACCTCCAGGCATTCCGAAAGCTACCACCATCCACTATCCCTCCACTCCCCACCAAAGAGTTGAGAATTCAGCATTCCTAGTTATATTAATTAATCTTTCAACTATCTTATAGGATTAAAAGTGTCACTGCCTTCTAACGAACTATCTTGGGAATGTAAGCTCCAGGAGAGGAAAAATTTCTGTTTTGTTCATTGTTGTGTTTCTAGCACCTAAATGCCTGACATATAGCAGAAGTCCTTAATATCTATTGAAAGAAAAACTGAGATTTTTCTTTTTGTTTTACACTAGGTTCAAAACTGAAAGGAATAAATTCTCACAGAGCTAAGAGCTAGCAAAGCTCCATAAGGATTTCAGTTTCTAGATTTGAGCTAGGCAGTGGTCTAGCTCACCATCTCCAGCATCAAAGACCTTCTTTCTAATTGAACAGGTTAAGCTTAGTTTATAATGAGGGTCTTTACACTTGAGAGTTAGTTCCCTCTACTGGCTCACTCTTCCCAGAGATAGTTACACAGCCTCTTTCTCATCATTCAAGTTTCCTCAAATGTCTCCTCCTAAAAGAGGCTTCAAAGTACACTAAACTTTAATGCACATATCACCAGTCTCCATTACCTTAATTACCTTACTTTATCTTCATTATATACAAGCTAAATTATCTTATTTGATTAGTTATTTAGTTATTTAGTTGTTTATAATATGTTATCTATCCCTTCAAATCCCCCCGCCACAATGTGAGCTCAACAAGAACAGAGGTCTCATCTGACTTCCTAATTGCTATCTTCCCAGTGCCTAACCCCCAGCACATGCTCAATAAATAATAGTTGAATGACTGAATAAATTTATATTAAGCTATTCACACTCAATTTTTCTCCCTCATGATTAAAGCACAAGTTTCCAGCTATACTGGATTAGAAGTCAGACTTTTTTAATACAAAATTATTCAAGCCATCCAGAGCTATAAACTGAAATGTTGACCCTTAGCACCCATGCTAAGTTAACTGAGTTAGCTAGTTCAGAAGTAAGCACTGAACTGAGAGCTAAATGGATCTGTATTGACTTCATGGCTCATTATCCAGGACTAATACCCACATAAAATCTGGACGGATACATTAGCTTCCATACAGCTTCTAATTCCATTTCTGGTTTTTTGCTTCTACAGTGCACAAACCAAAAAAATAAAGAATTTTTAACATATTTTCATATTCTGAAAAAGAAAGTCCATGAAAGTCTGTCCAAAAATGTCTCTGACAGGAAACAGAATACATTCCATGTTTAAAATATGCCTTGATTCAACATGGTGCCAAGACATGAACTAGAGCCTGAGAAACAGTACACACTAGACAAGAAAATAGTTGAATCAAATTCTTTTTTTTTTAATTTCTCAGTTGACTTTTTAAAAGAGATTTTAACTAAGATTAAGTAATGTCTGCAGTTGTACAATTTCAATTTAGGAACTAAATTCATAAGCAAAATTCACTCTTTCTGGTATTAATTCCTAAAAAGGAAATGCAAATGCCTAAACAATTCATACCTTACAAATTTGAAGTACGTGAATATTTCTCTCCTATTCTGAAGCTGTATTTCATGGGATAAATGACATACTTCTTTTGTGTATTTGGTTTTTGAATGATAACCTACATCCCTGTATTTCTTTAAAGCCAATAAAAGTAGTAGTCAGGTGACTAGCTTTCTCTGAACCAAATTTTAATACTACTGCAGATTTTTAAAAAATTATTGGTATGTTTTAGGAAACAGACTCTCAACATAACACAAAGGGAAAAAAACTAATGCGATAATTATTTAAAATATATAAATGACTGAATAAAATACAGCAAAGAGAGAAGAGTAATCCCAGAAATGAATTCAAATTATAAGAAACAATTTATATTTAACAAGTAGACATTAAAAAGCAATGAAAAAATGGGCCAGGCACAGTGGGGTCATGCCTATAGTCCTAGCATTTTGGGAGGCTGAGGCGGAAGGATAGCTTGAGTCTGGGAGTTGAAGACCAGCCTGTGCAACGTAGCGAGACCCGTCTCTACAAAAAAAAATAGAAAAATTAGCCAGACATGGTAGTGTGTGCCTATAGTCCCAGCTACTGGGAAGGCTGAGGCAGGAGGATCACTTGAACCCTGGAGTTGGAGGTTGCAGTGAGCTATCATGCCACTGTACTCTAGCCCAAAAAAGGCCAGGTGCAGGATGGCTCATGACTGTAACTCCAGCACTTTGCGAAGCCAAGATGGCTTCAGGCCAAGAGTTTGAGACCAGCCTGAGCGACATAATGAGACCCTGTCTCTACAAAGAAATATAGAAAAACTAGCCAGGTGTGGTGGTGCACACTTATGGCCCCAGCTACTTCAGAGGTTGAGGCAGGAAGATTGCTTGAGCTCAGGAGTTCGAGGTTTCAGTGAGCTATGAGGATGCCATGGTACTTCTGCTCAGGCAACACGTAAGACCCTACCTCAAAAAAAAAAAAAAAAAAAAAGAAAGAAAGAAAAAGCTTCTTAGAACAAAACAAAATCACTACCTTTATCCTCTTTTTTATTCTTTATAACAACCATTAATTTAACTATCTAATATATAATCGAACACCTGAATAGAAATAGAAGAAGTCATCTAATCATGGCAATAAAGAATTCCTAGCTTGATAAGTCCTTATAAATAGGAATCCTGTCTTAATTGTCTGTTTTTTAGAACCTAGAACACTGCCTGGCCCATAGGCAGAACTTCATAATTTTTCTTAAGAAACAATTCATAGCCAGGCAAAAAGTCAGCAACATTTTGTTTGAGTCCATTACCAACTTGGTCATTGACTCCTGTCACCCTGTAAAAGTTACTTGATTTCTGAATGTTTACATGTGTTTTCCTAATATGAAAAATGTTAGGAGCATTATTTACTGATGCGTTGAGTAGTGGAAAGGCCCAGTACATTTGCGATAACTAACTAAATACTCAACTGCATAGAAGTGGTTCCAACAATTCCCAGAACGTGACCCTCATTCCCAGCTCAAAGTAATTTTTCAAGCTCTTCCCTAAAGTGTAGTCCTAGGATGAGGTAATCACAAGAGAACACTAAATTGAATTCTAAACTTCCTAGGAACCACAGCAAAAAGGGAAATGGTGTACTATGTGTCTAATAAAAGAAATCATTTAGAAAAGAAAGAGAGTGTTTTTGGTCTAGGTCCTAAATTCTAGAAATAACTTATTATATGCATTCTAATATAGTATAAAACATCTTGGATTATGCTTTGCAGTAAATATAGATGTTCTTGAAGTGTACTTTCTTAAAAACAGGATTCAAAGTTTTAATTAAATTTAGCCAAACTGAAGTTATTTTTATAGTAACATGATTCAATGCACAGAAATGGCTTACGGAATCCTATAATAGATATAGAAAATGTATATTAAATATATCTGATATTAATATTAATATATTCCCAACCGAGTTTTTGACAGGTCTCTTCATCTGCCATGCATTATTCAAGGCCTTCTGAGATAGGGGTAAGCAAACTTCCACTCTTTGATCAATGAAATGCAGTAACAAAATTATATTATTATATTTTTCTTAATGTTTATTTCTATCTTTGTATTTTATAATTATAATGTCAATAGTAGTTCTGAAATTTT